CCGGTCCCGGCCAAGGGGAGCGAAAGCAAACCAGGCTTGCGAAAGCGAAGGAAAGAAAAAAAAACCACAAAAAAACACCGTGCTCTGCATGCTCTGTTATGCATGCTGCAAGCACGGTCTGCCATTCCCTTCCCGTCTCTGCGAATGCCGCACCAAGATTTGTTCGATCTTGAGCACAAGAGGGGTCTCGCGAGCCTCTAGACCGCAACGGGCTTAGAATACCCTCACTTACACCTCAAACGTGTGTGTCTGTGTGTCACGACATGCGTCTGTTCTCTTTGTTGACAGCCAATGCCCTTCGGTGGGCACTGGGGAACCACGATAGAGGCAAACCAGGAACGGCATCTGACTACCGGCATCCAGCGTTGTTGTGTCTGTCTTCCCCGCCACTATTCTCGCCATTGCGGGGGATGTACCGTCGTTAAACATCTTGCATCTTCACCGCTTCCCAAGTGATAGTCGAGTTGGGTCCTTTTCTACTACCTGTGGTAGCATTGTAGCAGAGGGGCAGTAGTTTTGTTGATGTCTGTTGAGCTATATACCTCACTACACATGATATAGTGTCGAAACACAATCGTGGTCGCTTAATCACCTCGCTCAACCACCTCGATTTCGACTACCACCCTCGGGCAAGTATGCAGTGCCTTTCTCATTTCTTGCTTGGCCCGGCAGGGCAGCCACGCGGAGAAGAAGAAAATTTCCACCTTGATGTCCCTCTTCTTCACGGGCACTAGACGACAACCGTCATGGAATTCCGTTTGAGGAGGAACTATGTCCCATATAGTAGTCCGCGAGCCCGTGCGCTTGCAGCACCAAGCCGGACTATTCCAAAAGATAACCTTCTCTACAGCCTCGGCGAGTTCTACTGGCTTTGCTCTATCGCTATGACCTGTGATATGACTATTTCTGCCGTGCAGACTCTTTGACACGGCAAGAAAGGAAGTGATGTTCAACTAATGACAGCAGGTGGCTTGACGTCGAGGTCATGAGTCCGGAACAGAAGGGGCAAGGCCAGACGGCTCAGTCTCCGTTTCACTCGTGAAAGATTCCTCAATGATGGTGGTGTGAAACGAGCATATGTCGGGGCAGTGACCGGCAAGAGATACCTTACCTACACCAGACCATGGGAATAAATGCCCAAACCTGGCTTGTAGCTGAGAGCCCAACGAACCTGAAACATGGCAAAGGCTGTAGGACAAGCCAAAATCAAGAACTCTGTCGTTCTTGATCACACTAGGTACTTGGTCAGGCAACTATCAAGATGCCACCCCCTAGACACTCGAGCAATGACATCAAAACACCCCCTGGACTCCATATACCCTCGAGAGTGTGCTGTCATGACTTTATCGTCCCAAGAACATATATATATATATATACATACAGATGACAGACGCTGCAAAACCCACCTCGAGCAGAAGGGTGAGACCAAGAAAGTGAAACGAGAAATTCTCCTACCCATCATCATCATCCGAAGTAGAGATTCGCCAAGTGTAAAAAGACTTCCGGCAAACCTCCTTCCCTATCAGGATACACTCCCTTGATCTTCCCGAATCGTTGACTGTGAGCCTATCTAGATAGGTTCTCATTTTGGTGAGACTACGGCAGTTAAATCACATACATCTCCCTGGGGCCACCGACTCGTTCGTTAGTAGGCACCTTTTCTCATCGACTACTACTTTAATCATTGCTTTCATCCCATTGCTTCTCACTTTCTTCCCTCACTATGCTCTCTTAACCATGAGATTGACAGAGAACAAGACGGCGCTTATGAACCACCAGCAGAGTAAGGTGGTTCATCAAGCCTTTCTTTTCCCCCTCTCCTAGAGCCAACAGCCCCCCAATGACGAAAGGATTGAGAGCATCTAGCAAATAACCCAAGAATATTATGAATACATGTACTTTGATAACATTTCCGGTGATGATCATGATCACGGACTTGAGTAATATACCTAGGTGGTACAGTCGGCATAGATATATACATATATAGCCCTAACCTTCTTGCAACTGATCATGATCTGGTTCCTGCCAGCCGGGGTGATATGCTGCCTATATATATATACATACCCTACTTGACATTACGGAAGTAACATTTTCATTGATGAAAACATGTAAAAGCACAGGCCAATCAATGATTGTGGGATCAAGTTTTGATTACTACTGTGAGTGTGGTCAAGTACCTACCTTACCTACTGTATACATGCCATGCAACGTAACCTCATTTACCAGTGGTGTGTGTTTCCCGAAGCACATTAGAAGAAGAGAGGTCCTAACCTGTATTATTTGTGTAAAGAGATATATATGTGAAAAGTGACATCGAAAAAAAAACCTGTTCATATGATCTTTCAGCTGGTTGTGAAACGCAGACTGGTGTGAACTACCTTAGGTATGCTTGTTTGCTGATTGAGATTGTGGTACGTACGGGGAGTGTGAGTAAAACAACCTACCTGGTAGACAAAAGTGACTACTTAGTTGATGTTTTTGTTAGCAATATCTGTATCAACAACAAACAAAACACCTCTGATCTGCAAAGCTCCTCACTTCCAGAAAACCCTATCAGGAGATGAAAACTCCCTGCACCCTAACCCCAGGGTGGGGGGGGGTGATGCCAGGTTAGCAAAAAGGGGGGGGTGCACAGCTAGAATTTCTCTTCTTTAACCACCAATACATGAATGATTCTTCTGTTTATCGCGGCGGAAACATGCAGTTCAATTCCTGATTCTATCTAATCATAAACACAGATCAGTCTAGTGTAGCTCTCATTCAATCTGAGGCCTCTTCAATCTTTGTTAAGCCCCATTTCAGGCATGGCTTGGTCTGTTTCGTCAGGGTAGTTCAGGTAACTAGTATCTGTTCCTGTTGTTTACTGGCCTCTGCTGTAGAGGCTATACACAAGTAGGCTCTTGACTTACGTTGAATATCTTGCAGAGGACATAATGGACTCTCAACAAATTGGGGTCTGGGAGCGGAGCAGCACGCGCTGAGGTGTCATGTTGTTTGAAAGTAACCGTTTGAGGGGCTCTCGACAGCGTCCCGCGGCCATAACCGTCGCCGAAGATATGTACGTGGTAGCAATGAGGCTATCACCCGCTTCTTAGCAACCGAGACGTGATTACTGGTATTCTCTCTCATAGGTATCTTAGCTTACCTCAGGCTTCGGTTCAAACGCAAACTGAAACTTGTCAAACGCGTCATGGAAGAACTGAGTGAGCATTATGGCGTTCTCTGGCTTTTTGATGGTTTCTGGCCGCATGTGTTGAGGGTTGATAGTTCCAAAATATCTCCAAATTGCCCACCAGATGATCGCCGTTTTGCGTGTCTATAGGTGAGTTCCCGTTGGTTGAAATACTCATATTGATAACGGGGTCACTACACTCACCTCTTCGGCATTGCTCTCGTCAAATTCCCCAAGGGCAAACGGGATTATATGTGACGCGGCGAGGGGTTCCCATTCCTTCCCCACCTGCTCATGGGCGGACAGTTGTTTTTTGTAGAATTGCTCTTCATAGAACCCGCTTAGCACACAGCGGTGCCCATCTCTCTTCAAACAAGAAGTTCGAAGAGCTGCCTGCTCATTTCTGAAAGAGCTCTCGATTTCTGCCATATGGCGGTTCACTTCGTTTCCGAAGTCAGGATCCAATCCGTCTGTTATGACTAGGTTGCCGCAATGCCGAACTTTAAATAGGGTATAAACGTTAGTAATTTGCTTGATGAACACCAATGAAACTGGCTTGCCTGGCTTCAATATGGCATCCACCAAAAAATTCCTCAACTGCAGCAGTTTTTTGGGAGTGGCGGATGAGTCCACAATCTCCTGCATAAGAATTCTACCTCCTTCAAGAGGTAAATCCTGAACGAAGGCCTCTAGAACCTGCCTGGTATCGTCCATTTTCCCTCTGGGGATATAACTTCTCAAAACATCGAGAGAATCGACCTTCAACGCCAACGCCCTCTCTCTTCTTATAAACTCCGAAACGGGGGTCAACTCGGAGTCTTTCGAGGACAAAGTAGGGGAACCCAAAGAACTCATTGAGCTCGATTCGGCCACAATGTCTGCCGTCGAGACAAAGGGATGCTCTGAGATGGCGGCCATTTCTTCTGATCAATCTCACTACGAATGAATCAAATATTTGAACCATACTCGGGGAATTTTCTACCAGAGCAAAAACTTATCAATGATGGATGAATTTTAAAATTGGCTGGGCGTTGTAAGATTTCCGCCACCAAATACCCTAATCTCAGCTTCCCCAAGCCTCTCTTTCCGTGGCTAACTAGGTAACCTAGGTTGAGGTGAATCCGTGGCCAGAAGATGTGGAAAAGAAAAGAATTTGCTTCGCATGAGCCCATAATTCTGGCCAATGTGGAGACGGTAAGGTCAAACGAAGATATAGCTAGGTCAGTAGGTACCTACCGGAGGCTACGGCTCGTCTACAGAGTCGTTGAACCAGTCGTCAACCTACATAGCTTTCATCAGGTTTGTGGTGAAGCCGTCGCAATGTGCAAAAGTGAAGACCTTGTGGCATACCAACTACGTGTGTTAAAAAGACGAAATACGAGAATATCTACCGTGTGTGTGAGTTACCAAAAAATGTTCCGTGGTCATCTGTTCTCGAGCTTAAATCGTATATCACAACCATACAACACAACCACCAAAAGCCAACCAAGACCATCATCAATCTAAACCAGGGTATTTTTTTAAAGGATATCTAAAAGCCTCTCGCCACCCCAAACAGTTTCCGCAGGGACGCCATGACTTTGTAAGGTAAGGTAAGGTTATGTACCCTAGGTATGTAACAGTAAACAAACAGGATAAAAAAAAAGGGGGGGAGGGGGGGGGGGTACGCCGTTGCCTCCCGTCATTTTTCTTTTTGCAAAACCCTCCCTTCCCTTCCTTTCTCTTTACAAAAAAGAAAAGCCAGAAGGAAAAGGGGAATCTATGAGTCTAACACTCTCTCCAAACATTCCGCAAACTCTCGCCGAAGCAGACATCTTGCTTTGCTTGCTTAAAGATAAATCATGTCGTCGCGCGCAGCTGGTGTCTCATGTCAGCATCTTCTAGGTAGAGAGATAAGGGGTTCAAACAGGAAACTTACGGCCAGTACCGATCCACTTCACGGGGATACCAGTGAACTCCTCAATGAACTTGACGTACGCCTGTGCTTGCGCGGGAAGGGCGTCAAAGGTCTTGACCGAGGTGATGGGTGTTTGCCAGCCCTCAAACTCCTTGTAGACAACCTCGAGAGTGTCAAGGTAGTCGAGGTCGGCGGGGAAGTGCTCGATGACCTCGCCAGTCTCCTTGTCCTTGTAGGCGACAGCAACCTTGATGGTAGGGAATGTGTCCAAGATGTCGAGCTCTGGAGAGGAATTGTTAGCCAACTAAATACCCTTGTGTTATGAAAACAACATACTGGTCAAGTTCCACGATGTGTAGTTGTTGATGAGCTGAGAGTACTTCAGCACGACAAGGTCGAGCCAGCCGCACCTACGTCTCCTGCCAGTAGAAACACCCCATTCACGGCCAATCTCCTGGAGCTTGGTGCCGGCATCACCGAGATCTTCGGTCTTGAAGGGACCACCACCAACTCTGGTCTAACAAGGGGGTCAGCACGACATGGCTCAGATCTGAATGATGGTGAGAGAGACATACGGTGTAAGCTTTTACGACACCAATAACCTCCTTGATCTGCTTGTAGTCGAGCGCAAGACCAGTAACGGCACCACCGAAACCAGTATTGCTGCTGGTGACGTAGGGGTAGGTGCCATAGTCAATATCCAACATCAGGGCATTGGCACCCTCAATCAAGAGGTCCCGTCCGCTCTTCTGGGCCTGATCGATGAAGTTGGGGCCGTCGCAGACGAAGTTGGGAAGCAGTTTCCTGTACTCGCGGAAGCGGGCAATCTCCTCCTCAACGTCGTACTCGAAAAGCTCGCCAAACTGCTTCTTATACCCCTCGGCCAGAGTGCGCAGCTTCTTCTCAAAAACGGCCTCCTTGAAGATCTCGTGAACCCTGATACCCTTCCGGCTGGCCTTGGTGGCGTATGATGGGCCGATGCCGCGGCCGGTGGTGCCAATCTTCTTGTTTCCTTCTAATTGAGCCTCCTCCGCCCTGTCGACGGCGGCGTGGAGTGTGAGGTTGACATGGGCGCGGTCGCTGATGAGGATCTTCTCGCGGACGTGCTTCAGACCCTTCTCCTCGAGCGCATTGAGCTCCTTGAAGAAAGCCTCGACGTTGACTACGACGCCGGAGCCGATGAGGTTCTCGCAGTTGGGGTTGATCAAGCCTGATGGGAGCAGGTGGAAGCTGTTGGCAGAAAACACAAGTGTCAATTCGCGCGTCGTCGGATAGTAGTAGTAGTAGTAGTAGTCAGGGGCATAGAGGTATCTCCGTACTCGTACGAAACGCCATTGGCACTACACACAAACAGCACCGTTTCCGTTAGCAACTCGGAACTCATTCCACAACAGCAATTGGTTCACCATGGGGTGACTTACACAACTGAATGACCAGCATTGTGACCTCCAGCAGCGCGGGCGCAGATCTGGGCCTTCTGGCAAAGGATATCGCTGAGCTTGCCCTTGCCCTCGTCACCTATAGTTCAAGGGTTAGGGTTAGCGACAGTTCCGACCGCAAATTTTCGTCTGGCCGTAACGGTGGTCCAGACGAAATTGACATTATTGACATACCCCATTGGGAACCAAGAATAATGGTAGTCGGCATGGTGATTCGTTCCGTAGGCAACACTGCTTGCTTCAGTCGTTGGGGAGATTCAGAGGGGAAACACTTCAGGTGTCGTTGTTTTTGCGATTCTTCAATGGCAGCTTGAATTGGGGCGAGGCGAATTGAGCGCGGGGTTTTGTGGTGGGGTCTGCCTGAGTCACTGAATGTGGGAAATGCTTACCGTACGGTAACAAGAAAACTTGGCAGCTGTAAGTAGATTCCGGGGTAAATGGAGACGTAATTGTTTTGCTATCGAATAGCGGTGGGTGTTTTGAGGTTTACTGTGACACCTTGATAAATATGTTCTCGGACCCCCTGTCTGTGATGAATATTTACATGCCATGGCGGTTGGGGGCAGGCGGGGCAATCGCAACGGCGGGGCAATCCGTTGCGATTCAAACGGGCCGCGAGGCAGAAAAAGGGTTGCGATTGAGTCCATTAAATCCCTCTGCGGTGGCGTTTCGTCTCATCATGCCCTCCGAAACCGGGTACATGTTCATGGCTGAGAGAGGATTTCAGATGGTATCATGATGTAAGCTGGTTCTCTTCAAAAAGCGTAACATGTTGTTCCTCAACAGATATTTACCTGCCATCATGCCGCACAAATAAACCCAACTGGTTCAAACTACGTAACCTCTTACATAGGAGATGCTTCTCTCCGAGTCCAGTAGTCTTGGCAAACATGACATCCTGAAATAACTGGCCAATTATGGATTCATTCTATCATCATCATTGTTATTAGCCCAGCCGATTTTCTCCCAGTTAATTCATTCGATATGAAGACCAACGTGAACAACACAACGTCCTGTTGAAGAGAAACTGAGCTACCTTAGATCATACCCACGGAAGCTGTGACCTTGGTACTTGGTGTTCCTGGAACTTGACGAGGGCCTCGCAGTTCAACCTCTGCGGATATCCTCAAACACATCTCGTCGAAATCTTTCCGCATCTCACGATACTATATCATGGTTAGAAAGCACATGCCTTAAGAAGACTGTACCATTCATCTTGGGGCATTTCTATCCAACAGGATCTTACATACGCGCATCATGTGCCTTATATACAACGTGAAAGAGACATCCAAGAGTAATGCAAAGGTAAAGCGGATGAGTAAATTCCATAATTATATTCAAAAGAATGACGATATGTACAATCTGGTCAACTGAAGCCAGACAACCCACAAGCCCACCCCAACGCCGAAATCTGGTCATATCATGGACTCATAAACACACCTTGAACAGAAAAAGCCCGACATAATCTATGCCCTCCTCCTCCTGCTGACCCTAGCCTGAGCAGAAGCAGTCTCCTCAACCTCACCCTCCGTCGACGTAGCAACACCCGTCTCAGTGGCCGTCGGCCCATCCGTAACAGTAGCAGTATCCGTCCCTGTCGCCACATCCTCCGCCGTGGTTGTTGTACCCGTCAAAACATCCGTCAACGTAGCCGTGTCAGTCTTAGTCGAGCCCAGCTCCTCCGTAACAGTCGTAACCAAATCAACACCCCCCTCATCCGCCAAATCCGGATTCGCAGCAATAACCCCCGGCGGAATCACCGGCTGTCCCAGATTCAACCCACCACCACCACCGACCAACCCCCCCACTCCCGCCTGAATCAACTCCTCCAAACTCCCAAACAGCTGCCCATCAAACCTTACCCCCCCCAGACCTAGCCCCGTATTCCCCAGGCCCAACTGCAAAGCAAGGCAGTTACTCTGCAGACTAGCCAGCGTGTCGACAAATATTTCCTTTTGCCCTGGCAAAATAATAGCTGCTGGGTCTGCCAGCACCAAACCCAGCGATGACCCGAACTTCGGGGCAGTGATGCCGAAGGGGAGGAGGAGGGATTGGTTCAGGAGGTGGGTGAAATCGAGGTTGTCGTTGTTGGGGAGGGAGGAGAGGTCTGCTGGGAGGTTGACGAGGTTGATCTGGCGAGGGGAGTTGCCACGGGGTTGAGGTGAGGGGGTAGGCTGGATCAAAGAGCCGAGATCGAGGGAGGAGGCTGGTTGTTGAGTTGGACTGGGGGAGATGGGGGAAGAGGTCGGTTGGGCTGCGTTGTTTGTGTTGTCTGGGAGGGTGGTGGTCGTGGGGAAGAGGGTTGATTCTGATTCGAGGGAAGCGCTGGTGTCAGTTAGAGAGGAGGAAAGGGTGTCTGCTTGTGTCAAGTTGTTGTTGTTGTTGATGATTGGACTGAGGTTTAGGTCTGGAATGACAGAGTTGACTGGGTTCTGGGAAAAGTCCGTCACTGGTGTGGGGGTAGGAACAATGGTCATTTGCTGGGAGTCGGTGACCATGATCAGTAGCTCCTTGTCTGGGAAGCCGTTGTCGATACGGAGCTGGTTGAGAAGGTAGCGGTTGTTGATGTTGTTTGGATCTCGTTGATCTAGAACGTTTGTTACACAAATAATGACGCAGTTCTGGGGGGAAGAAGTTAGTAGCACACTTGAGTAGTACCGAAGAGAACATACCACGTGTGGGAACTGGGCCCTGAAATGATTGATACGAATGTTGGTTTTGATTGTCTCAAGCTGAATAGCCAAGGCGAATTGTGATCCGATCAGCGCCGCCAGCTCTAGCTCAGCAATCCGAGCAAGTTGGCTGATGGCGCTGCCAATGAGGACATTGAGACCTGCCCCAGGAAGGATGATGTTGTGGTTCCCGAGGGGAGGAAGAATGGTGTCAAAAAGAGATCGCTTCTCATCGTTGGTAGCGTTCTTGAGCTTCCCCCCTGACGTTGTGCTGTGGTCAATAGGGGCTGGCGCTGTTGTTATCTGTCAGCAAGTGAGCTTGAACAAGTACAGGGCTTGGAAGACTTACCTCCTACCACTGACGAAACCAAGCCTGTTAGGGCTGTAAGTGTTTGTCGAAAATGCATGTTGAGAATTAATTACAAAGTAATATGAAATGAAGCAATGCCTTTTGGCAATTCAGCGAGCGTCCTGTCAAAGGGGCGTATGAGAGAATAGAATAGCAGCCACATGGGCGTCTGTACCCAAGCAAGCTGGGATAAGGTGAACAGCCAACCGGCTGGCAATATGGAGGCAATGTGTGAGTATCTCGACAAGCTTGGGGTTGAACAAGGAAAATCGTATTCGTATTGGGAATATATACTTATAAGCGTATCAACTATCTCAGCTCTGAGAACTGCGTCATTGTGGTGCCCAACTTCATGACTCTCAGATGCCAAATGGAGGACGAGGTTGCAGAGCGCGAGTGGACACTGCAAATATCTCCTTCTCTCAGAAGTCAGACCACCAGACGACAAGCTCAGTGTGGTGGTGAGAGAAACACATGGTGTTTGGTATGAGAATAGGCTTGGCTGGGGTGGCGGCGTGCTGCAGTTGAGCTTGAAACGAGTCTCGGCGAAACCGATAAGATGCCAGTCAGTATGAAATCGATCAGAGCACGATAGTGGTGAGACAATTCAGTGTCTTGTATGCGCAGGTCGATGATTCAGTTGTCTGAAGGCGCGCGTTTGCCACAAGATTTTAACTTGAATATCATAGACCTCCAGCTCAAAGTCGTATATGTAAACTTGATAAGTCGACTACTCGCCTCGTTTCCCATAGCCCGGACGGAGCCTTTTCATCATTTGAGCAGCACTGTACCAACCTGGAACCTCTTGTGTTCTTTCGCCATCATCTAAAAGTTCAAAGGAAGAGACCCTGATGGCTGCACAGACCAGCACCTGCCGTTTTACGACTCAGACCCTGAGGTTGGACCAATCAGAACGCAGGAATTACACGCAGATAGGGTTCATGATCAGACTCTCAAACACAGCTCGAGACACCACGCACACAACATTTTGACAGCAAGTCTGAGGGGTGCCTTGACATTGCAAATTAGAGACCCAGAAGTGGAAGCGCCGTCGCTCTACGTTCGTGCGTCCGTTGGTGCGTCCTCTTGCCTTCTCATGTACACTACCGGACGGAGGGATATGATGCAAACGAATAGGTATCCAACACAGAACAATGGCTGATGAGCCTCAATGGACTGCTGATAAGTGCCATTCCGCATCAAGATGATATTGTCATCTGTGACATAACATCGGTTTTCGGCACACCTGGAATGGAAGGCCTCAATGTTCGTCGATAGACTAATAAAGACATCGGTCAGAACAGCGTGGGGCCGGCCCGAATGTGGAGCAGGATAAGATAACGAGGACTTCAACAACGGAAGTCGGTCAAAGACGGCGCCGGATATGGAGACCCGGAGATCGGCTTCAATGTCCGGGCCACCGGCCGGTGCTGTCACGGAGCCGCTATTATCTCATAGTTTGCCTTTGACCGTGCCTTTTCTGGCAGACGTCTGATGGAAGATCCCCCGCTTGCCGATCGCATGGTCGTTGATTGTGTAAGTGGCGGCGCTGAATCAACCCAGAGAGATCTGCAACCCCAGTGTTTTCTGTGCTATTCTCATCAGTGTCTTCCATATTAGTGCCACCAGCACAACTGCCGGTGTTTTCTTATGACCGTAACACCTCGACCTCGATGTTCGTGTACGGACTACGGATTTGGTGGAAGGCGCGACTCATGAACTGGTTCGTGGCGTGGGTCGTCCCAAAGTTTGACATCTGATGAAGCTTTTCGCGGACGGACGGGATTCCATCTCAAACGAAAAACGCGCCAAGGGATTCGCCGCCGCCCTTGACACTTGCGTATGCAGTGGGCGTCCATGCAGAGCCCCGGAAAAGCGGGCGGGAAAGACTGTTGTGCGGTCCTGCAGCAAGTGTTGGGGATGAGTGGGGAGGAGGGCGGTCAAATGGCGGCCTGTCTTTGTAGTTTTTGTTGAATTGAATTGACGAATAGAACGTGCGCAATAGGCACCTGGGCAGATACATCTGGCACAAATTGGTGGGATGGCAACACAAGAGACCCCTGATGAGAAAGTCTTCCAGACTCGCATCGCGACTTTTCCAGCTTCATCCCATCCACCAGGGTCCAAAATCACATGTGATCGGTCAGTATCTTATCGCAACACATCTTTTGTGGACATCAATGTCCGGGATGTCTGGTCGGCGGCATCTCGTTCGCCTGGAAGCACCCGCTTTTTCGGCTCGCAGTCGGCTAGAGCCTTGAAGGGAAAGCGTGCCAGGAGGCCGGATCGAGCCCGGGCTCGAGATTCACTCCACTTGTCCCTCGGCGCCTACTCGATCTTGCCTCCACTGTCCAGATCCGCATCATCCGAACCTTCACTTGTCATTGCAAATTGCCATCGCATCGCTGGGTTTGGCGGGATGAGCGCCTGTCGTTCGTAGCCTTCGCCGCCACCGGCCTATCCATTTTTTGAGTTTCTCGGGCATCTCCAGACCCTTGGGACCCTGAAGCGCTAGTGCCTTAGGTTCTCAAGGTGACATTCTGCAGTGCCAGTTTGCGTGCCGCTGGCTCGCTGGGTCCCCCTTTGGCTTGCGGCAGGGCGACATTCTTCAGTCAAGATGTGAGACCCTTGATGGCCGATCTGTTGTTGGCTGGCTTTCCCTTTCCCAGCTGGAGCTGGATGCCAACCCAGGGTGGCCTAGGTCAGAAAGTAAAAAGCCAAAAATAAAAAATATAAAAAATAAACAAAATGATAAACAAGGGAAATCCCGAGCTCTTTCCCGGCACTCCTCTCTTCTCTCTTCCTATCGCACCAGCTGGGGGTTCTCGACTCGTGCTGCTCCTGTCTTTTTTTCTTCCGCTTTCATAAAGTGGTCCCCGCTGTGTGTAAGGACCCCTGTCAGTGTGACGTGCAGATTGGCGGGATCGCAAAAAAAACGTTGGGAAAAGCAGAGCAACAGCAAGCAGTCGTGGGTAACAAAACGAACCGCCCGCCCGCCGCGTGTTCTCCTTCACTCCAACTGCTCACCATCACTCGATTCCTCTTTTTTGTCAGTTCACCAGACACATCAACTGACGCCCACAATGATCTCCTTCGACTCCGCTGCCCTGGGCCTGCCCGACTGGTCCCTCTTCAAGTTTCCTCCCCCAGCAGACGCCGGCTTCATTCCCCCACCACCGCCCGGCACCACCTCTTTTGCTCCTCCCTTCGAGATCCCCGACCACATCTACCAGGCCGTCCTCGACCCCAAGGTCCCTCTCACCATCGCCGCCGTCTATGCCATCTCGGCCAAGCTCCTCAATGCCTACAACAAGTCCACGGGCAAGAAGCCCTGGGGCATCAGCAAGACCCTTCCCTTCAAGTGGTTCGTGATCGCCCACAACATCTTCCTCGCCGTCTACTCCGCATGGACCTGGTGGGGCATGTTCAACGCTCTCCGCCGCACTGTTGTCAGCCCTCTGGGCCCTACTGGCGTCTCTGGCTTTCTCGACTCCATGTGCCAGATCAACGGCGAAAGTGGTGCCGGTAACGCTATCTTCTGGGACGAGGCCGCTGGCTCCTGGCAAACCTTCACCGCTGACGGCGTCATGGTCGCCAGCGCTGAGCCCAGCCGTTATGCTGCCGGTCGCATGTGGAACGAGGGTCTTGCTTTCTACGGCTGGTTGTTCTACCTCAGCAAGTTCTACGAGGTCTTTGACACGCTCATCATCCTCGCCAAGGGCAAGCTCAGCTCGACCCTCCAGACTTATCACCACGCTGGTGCCATGATGTGCATGTGGGCTGGTATGCGTTACATGTCGGTTCCTATTTGGATCTTCGTGTTCTTCAACTCCTTCATCCACGCCATGATGGTAAGCTTCACTCCAAAACATGACAGAAAACGAACAGGAAAACTGACCGTATTCTAGTACACCTACTACACTGTCACCGCTTTCAACATCCGCGTCCCAATGTTCATCAAGCGCTCTCTTACCTCGATGCAGATCACCCAGTTCCTCGTCGGTGGTTCCGGTGCGATGATCCACTCTTTCATCTACTACACCATCCCCGTCATGGCTGGCGAGTCTGTCTCTGCTTCCTCCGCCGCTGCCAGCGCTTCTGCCGCCGCCAACGCCTCCGCCGGTCTTGTTGGCAGCATCAAGAACTCTTTCGGCCGCCAGGTCACCCCTTGCATCACCTCCAGCGGCACCACCTTTGCCATCTGGCTCAACGTGTTCTATCTCACCCCCTTGACCTACCTCTTCGTCTCTTTCTTCATCGAGAGCTACCTCCGCCGCAGCAACGCCCCCGCCAAGAACGTCAAGAACAGACGCCTTAGCAACAGCGTCGCCATTGCCGAGAAGGCCGGCTGGGAGGCTGCCAAGAACGTTGAGCGTGAGGTCTATGGCGAGAGCAACGAGGGTGCTGCCAAGAAGGGCAAGAACGGTCGTGTCCTCCGCAACAGAAACTAGATTGTTTTTGATGGAGTACGACGAGATGAATAGAGCTTGTCGGCATGGTTCACAAGTGCCTTGTAGCCATGCCACATTTGGAGCAAACACATCTTTTGATCTTCACGTGAAAGAAGAGTGTTTTCATCCAGCATAGCGAAGCGGTGTATGTCTTGGGCGGCTAGAATCGTGCTTCACTCTGCCATAAGAACATAGACAAGACGAGACCAAAAAGGGAAAAGGGAAAAAGAAAAGAGACAACGACAAAACGAAAGCATTTAAACCGGTGTTGGGTCGGGAATTTTTAGCGACTTTTCTTTTGGGTATTGGAGATGAGCTTCGGCTCATTTCTCAACTTTGTATATATTAGCCCTCTTTTCGGTCTCTCATTCATTGGGGTTTTGGGATCATTCATGCTTTCTCTTTTTGGAGTTCTTTTAAGAGAGAAAGATAGAAGAATGCTTCTGACACTGGGTTTCAAAAGAGAAAAGGGAACACTGGGAATTTTTAAGGGAAGGAAGGCATCAAGGGAGGCAATATTTGGAAGAAATAAAGAATTATATAAAAACATACCTGGTTCCATTGACTTGTGGGAAACATCTGGCGTTCGTGACGAAGAGAAATTGATGGTTGACCACGAGAGGGAAGGGGAAGTAGGCACAATATCTTCTGACAGCTTCTGGCAAGTGAATTATGTACTCTCTGAGGGACATATAGAATACTCGGGAGACTCGGGACCGGAATGTTCGGAGGAGGAGGATCTGAGTACGGTATATGTTTGCATCTTACTCCGTACATACATACAGCTCATCAGTGTAATATGTTGGGGCTCACTCACTTTTCTTACTGTAATCGAGATGTGTGTATGACGTCGAAAACCATCCCAACAACAGACCAAAACAACAAAGATCGGATGAAAATTTGATTTATGAGTCGGAATACAACACACGACAAAAAAATATGAAGCTGGAAAAAAAACCCCAGGTCTCGGCATGTTTTGGTGGTACTACTTCACGATAACTAAATCGATAAGATCCGAGGGGGGTTAGTCACTGACTGCATCAACTCAAATTCCCCGCACTTTGATCGAGATCTCCGGTGTTGCCGTTGTCGCCGGGAGGGGTTCAGCACCACCACCCACAACGCAAACAACAATTTCATAGAGCACATTCGCATCTCACGACAACACACACACCACAACCAAAGGTAGTTTTTGCGCCTTCAAAAAACATTGTATTAACAACCAGCCTCCATTCTAAAGAGAACCGGTAAAAACATCTGAATCTCTCAGGACCACACCACTCCAACAACTACCACTCTCACACACACCCACCATATTCTTCTTCAGCTCATCAAAACCCCAAAGTAAAATAAACACAACGCCGGCAATCCCCCATTAACCCCCAATCAATGCAGTCAAACAAAAATGCTTCAATGAAAAAAATACAAGCCAACTCCTAGAGCGCCTTGCTAAAAAAATGTAAAGCCAACTCCCATGAGAATGAGCCAAAAAGCCAAAAGCTCGAGACAAAACAATGACAGCAACAAAATGCAAACAGAAAAATGGCCATGCTCAAAACTGTCTGACCACCTCAAAGGGAAAAACAAATCTCTCAAACCCTCACTCACAAAGAAAATATGTGTGTCGATGCATCGCCGACCACTGGGTATCTTTCCTCCTGTATATCATAGAAAAAAACAGAAGGAAAAGAAAAAATCTCTTTAGGGTTCTCCCCCATTCCGTAACTGAGACAAATGCCGTGTCTCCATTTCCTACTTGTCGAATCCCACAAAGTCTAAAGTTCTCTATGATTCGTGCTGTGCACTGTTCTCTCTTGTTGTTCTAGTGGACGTGTGAAATCTGTGGTCGTCTCTCATGTCGGCGATTTGCCTGATTACTCTTCCTCTGGGTGGCGCAACAAGGAAATAAACTGATTAAAAAACCGTTCGTTTAAAAGGTGCTCCAATTCCAGTCTCTGGGAACACTGTGTGCCACCTCGGCCACGCGAGCTTGAAGGGGCCTCATCAGGCCAGGAGCGATAGCGGCGACTGGGGCAGCGGCGGTAGGGGTGACGGGTGTCTCGGGAGCGTTGCCTCCATCAGATGAACCCCTGCTGGAGGACTGGCTGTTTGCACGACTGCGCCATGCCCTGAACTGGTTGAAGCAGTGAGCGCAGGCGCGGCTGGGAACACCACGAGGGTTGTAGTTGGCGTCCTGATCAAGGGGGATTTGATAGTCGCTGTGAGCGCCGCAGAAGATGTTGCCGCAGCGCCGGCAGTGATGTCTTCTGGTGAACGTGTTGAAGGACTTTTTGCAGGTCGCGTGATCACAGATAAGTGCGTCCTGGTCCAACTGCAGGAACAATGTTAGAATCATCTCAGGTGCGCAAAAGGTCCGATGAATGGGTGCGCATACCTTCCAATGTTTCCGGGTGGGGGTGCCAGTCGGATTGGGAAAGAGGTCCAGATTCCAAGTTCCATCGACGTATTTGGCGCTATCGCCAGTAGACCGTCTGGTCAAACCCAATGACGCGCTCAACCCTCCGCTCAACCCACCAAGGCTCATGAAGCTGTTGCTGTGACGCAATGGTTCCTCCTCAGGAGACTCAGGCTCATGCTCCGACTTTGGTCGCGCCGGAACCTTGGATGGAAACTCGGTCGGGCGCAGCACAGCCGGTACGTAGAGCGGCCGGATTTGGCGCGTCATGTAGTTCTTGGGCGAAGTCGGCGAGTTGCCGGATGTGCTGAGCGGCGACACCTGGGTATTTTGCTGCGTGGAAGGCTGATAAGGAGTTGCGATCGGAGCCAGCTGAAAGCCAGAGTGCTGCTGAGCACGATAAGGTTGCTGCTGCTGCTGCTGCTGCTGCGGCTGCGAGTAAAAGTGGTGGGCTTGGGGCTGTTGTTGCTGAATGGGCATCTGGGGCATTATGAAGTCGGTCGCCATGATTGCTGTTGATGCAGAGATGCGGTGCAGCAGACTGTGGGGGTCAAGAGGACCGTGGAGGAGTTGGGGAAAGCTGGTCGTAAGGGATTCGCCCTTCTTACGCCGCCTTCGCAATCAACGTGTAATTCGACCCCGGAAAAATAAGGTTGAATGGTGCTTATCGAAGCTTCGTCGATATGCACTCGGGAGATAGAGGCAGCTGGTGACAAAGGTCGATATCGGGGGGCGTCGGTCGAATAATGCAGTCGGCAACTAGCGGGAAGAAGCCAGGAGAAGTTTCCTTGTTGGTCGCTATCCGTCGTATGTATGGGATTGTTCAGGACGGGAGGCTGAAGGTGGGAGTAACAAAGGCAGGCTGGGAGAGAGAGAGGCTGTCCTTCTTATTATGGATTACGAACACCACATGTCGCTTGGAGATCTGGCAGCGCTTGGTGAATCGGACAGAGGGGAAAATGGGTGAGAAGGGTCCATTAATTCTGGATCCGAAGCAGAAGCAGCAACTGTGGACCGTCCAGGAGCAAGGAGCAAGGAGTAAGGAGCAAGGAGCAACGGAGCATTCAGATCTCTCAACCTGGGCAAAGAGCGGTGGACCCAAAGTTGAGTTGCAAGGAAGGCACATCCGCTCGAGACAACCCTGGAACCCTGTCTAGGACACCCATGAACGGCAAGTGCTTCTTCTGCTTCTCCGCTGCCGTCCTTCTTGGCCTTTTAAAAGCCCAACGGCGGCAGCGCATTGTTCGACGCTGGCTGCAAAGGTAGATTTCGTGTAACCGCGATAGACTGCCTCCCCTTATCATGGGCAGTGTTGAACACGACGATACGATGACGACTCCCTATCCCTCGCCGACAGCTCAGAGCAACGGACTCGCACGAGCAGTAACTTTGACAACTTGACAGCCACCACTAACAGAGCGCGGACGAGTGGCGGCAACCGTTCGGGGCCCTTGTGGGATGTCCAAGCTTCGTGCCCGGCAGGTCAAAGTCGCACTGTGATACGTACCCACGTAATCCCGGGCTCATTCACCAGTCGCATGAACCTTGACCCTTGTGTTTCCATGAGGTCGAGGCCCGGCTATGCTTCTTGCCTCCTTCGTTTAGAAGGATAACCTGTACTTCGAGTTTCGCTGACTCGGCACGATACGACCTGAGCCAGGTTGCCTACCTTCCATATTTTACTTTGGAACTGTCAATGGTTTCGAAGTCGGATGGTGGACATTTTGAACAAAGCCGATACAAAGCTTTTGGGATTGCAGGTCAGGAACACATGTGATTATGGGATGGGAAGATATGACTGTGTGTGGCTGGGTGTCAGCAATTCAAAGATCCAGATAAGCCATGGGACATCAGTTCATATTGCTGAAACGGACAATTGCATGCCAAGTGATAATACAAATATGCATCTAAACCATCTTGATAGGTTCGGCGAGCGCGGCCCTCTAGCCTCGGCCGGCACGGGACAGCTTTTCGCCGAGGCCAGCCTCAGGACAAGGCCACGCCGGCGGTCAGCGGTCGACTGGCTGTGACAGGGGTAGGCGCTGGCGGTTGGTTCAGTCCTGCAACGACATCATCAGCCGCAACCCCTTCAATCCCATCCGTTACCAAAGAAACAACGGAAATTCTGCCACGACTACGACGACACCAAACAATAAACAACAATACATCCCACCGAGCCCCCGAGTGAACCAACAGCCGGCGGCCTCATCCGTGCTCCGACGACACATCCCCGAGTCTCCACCTGCCCCCGCGTTCTGCCACTTCTGCACCGCTTCCAGGTTCCTTGCCCACCCAGAGAAAGGCCGAACACTCAACCCTCCCATATCGGTCCCCTAACCCCGACGACACACATTCCCAGCATTACGTATCCCGGTGCTGGCGGGCGATAGACAGCGCTTTGCTCCACTTTACACCACCGGCTTCACACAACAGCAGACAAACAGACAAGATGAAGCTCTACTACGTCGGCGTGCTGGACAACACCAAGTCCCCCGCCATCCAGCTATGCGCCGAGCACGAGCTCAGCGAGTTCTCTCGCTTCACGCGGGATGAGTATGGCAAGTTCATGACCATGATCAGCAAGACGGTGGCGGAGCGGACAAAGCCTGGGCAGAGGCAGAGTGTGGAGGAGCAGGGTATGTCTTTTTTTTTTTTAACCTTTTCGATATCAAAACCGACAAGATGTGCATGTATGTATGCTAATGGCGGTTGAAATGCGTTGCAGACTATGTCGTCCACTGCTACGCCCGCTCCGAAGGCGTCGCCGGCGTCGTCATCACCAAGGACTACCCCCACATCGCCGCCCACAGCGTCCTCTCCAAGCTCATGGACCAGTTCCTCTCCGAAGTCCCACTATCCACCGTCCAGGCCGCCAAGAACAACGGCGATGTTTCCTTCCCGGCGTTGAAGGACTATCTGAACAACTACCAAGACGCAAACAATGCGAGCAGCATCGCCAAGATCCAGCAGGAACTGGACGAGACGAAGATTGTGTTGCATAAGGCTATTGATAGCGTATGTGTTGTCCCTTTCTAACGTGGGGGGTGGGGGTCATCAAGTCGGTGAAGAAAAGAATGTTTTGCTGATATGTGCTTCTATGTTTTTTTTAGGTCCTGCAACGTGGCGAGAAGTTGGATGACTTGGTGGCCAAGAGCTCTGATTTGAGCGCGCAGAGCAAGATGTTTTACAAGTCGGCTAAGAAGCAGAATTCGTGCTGCTTGGTTATGTAATGGGGTGGTGTGGGTGGCGCGGCTATGGCGGTTTATTGATACCGAGGTGTGAAAGGGGGGTGGATTGCTGAACAAAGGGAACAAGACATATGGGACAGATCTTTATTGAAGAGTCAAGCAAGCGGGTTTGAAGAAAGGGTGGGGGGCAAGACTACTTTGTCAACATTATATAGGGAGTTTCGGACTGGTTTATTAACCGTTGAACGGGGGGAGTTTGTTATATTCAAGTAATAATCAGGATTGCTGCTGTGTTTGCACCTCGTTCAGGCGTTCGTTGTTTTGGGTCTGTAAAGTCTATTTGATAATGTGCCAAGAGATGACATAGGGGCTTTGTATGTATTGACAGATAGTGTAACTGGACCCTTGGGTAAGTGGCAAATCCCGAGACATAGCATGCGTCTACATGCTGAATAACTACAACCTGATCAAAGCTAAATACTGTCACATCACGTACGCCATTATGACTCATAAGCTCACACCGATACTATGCGCACCTTGTATCATGTCATGTTATGAGTCTCAGCGCAGGTCAGCCTCGCAGCGGCCATCATGTGTTGTCTCGAGCTGAGCTGAGCCTCGCCTGATGGAGATAAGATGCCTCCCGATACGAGAATGTATGCATGTATGTAGGTATGTATGCATTTAAAGATGATATCCACTGCGTAAGGATTTACCCGCGCAAGTTTTCGAAACTGTTACCTAAAGGCATATTTTCGTTTAAGCAGGCCAGCGTTGCAGTGCATGGTATGTTGTATGTCTTTTTCATTTTGGGACCCCCCTTGTAAAGCACCAGAAACGGTTATCCGTGGGGAAATGACGCGCGAGAGCCGCGAATAATCCATTTCCCTAATCTAGATGTTTGAATCTGGGGGATGATGATGCTAAGATTTGTTTGTGTGACGTTGGTGATGATGGAGGATCTGCTTTTAGTTGAGGGTTGGTTATGCGAGTGATAGAGAAGAGGCGGACGATCTATCAGAGTGGGAGGGAGATCTCTTGCTGATTGCTCGTGTGCTCTGCCTTTGGAGAATGGAGAAAACCTGGAAGGTTTGGGCACTGTGTAGCAGAGTGCCAAGAAGTGGATAGGACAGTGGGTGGTGGTGCTGTGAAAGCGGGCGGCCGGCCGGCGCGGTCATCAAATTCGGGAAACGGCATATAACCTGGAAATGATTGGCTGAGAGGTAAAAAAGGTTATCGCAGAATGGTGATTGGTTGGAGGGACGAGTGCGAGGTCGGTAAGAAGGGGTCGGATGTGAGGCGGGAGCGGTTCCGGTCAGGTTATTGGAAAATAGAGGTGCTGATGGTATATATTCAAAAGACTATCTCTGAATTGTCTAGATTTTGAAAGTTGCAACTTCATTCCACTGTTGCTTGTGACGTCTTGCCTCATTGACGTTGTCTTTTACTTTACTGAGATGTTCTTGGCTACCTATTTCGCCGTTTCCTCGGGGAGTTTGACTCGCACTGGGTCTTTTTTTGTCACATTTGTAATTCAATTCCACCACCCAAACAAACACGGCGCTTGTTCATCGGCGTGGATTCCGGCTACTGTACCTAGAAAGGAATTTGAGTCTTCTCAACATCTTGTCTCCTCTCTCTCTGCTCATATAGGCCTTCTAACCACAATAGGTTTGTTGTTACGTCATGCCCGACCAACCACATCTCTCCACAGGGGGGGTCGTTGGCCACCCAGATGTTCGGTCTTACACAGAAACCACCAAGCAACCTACCGGTTGATTGTTGACGCGCAGTAGTCTTGTTCGCTGTCTTGCTGGAGGTAGGTAGTTTGGGGGGGGCGAAAGTTCGTTCTGTGGGTGAGAAGCGTTCTCAACGGTAAAGAGGGTGAATGTCGGCGAGCTCCGATGCAACCCGCCGCCCACGCTTTTCTTTCGCTGTTCGCTCGCTGCTTGTCATCGTTTCGGTCCGGCTTCGGTTGATGGCGGGGTGGCCGGTGAGCGCGGGGTCATGTTACACAGCCTTCAGCCCCCATCCCCCTCCCTTTCCCGCGCTTCGAAGCCACGGTGAAGGGGGAGCGGGTTCGGGTCTAGCACAGTGGAGGGGGGCTTTGGTAGGGAGGCGGCTGCGGATGCGGGGGTGACATATCGGAGTTAATCGTCGCCATCATAAACATGTCAGGCCTTAGGCTTGGCACGCCCTTATCTTCATGAGAATCAGGCAAAGTTTGGTCGCGAGCAAGAGAGAGACAGACTCTTTTGGCAAGGGAGGGACAGGAGTAGGGAGACCTGTTCAGCAGCTCTTGTCTGCTACGACACAGAAGAGCAAAGAAGCCAACATTTTCACTCTCGATAGAATCTTGTATCTCCATTGGTGCGCTTTGAGCTGTCAACAAAAGAAGCAAAACAGGACCACTGCAGAGCAAGCGAGAAACTTGGCCTCTCTCTTGCAGAGACGATGTCGATGCCCTGCATACGCAAACAGGCAGATGCTGCAGTTGGTCTCTAGATACAGAAAATAGCCCCGCATACATCATCAATATCACCACCGCTACGATTGCTTTAGCTGGATCATGATCAGAGCTGTCACTTTTCTGTCATGTCTTGGCCAGAAGAAACTTGGTCGATCAGTCAGCCTTACTGAATTCGGGCACACCATGGCGTCGTGGAACCGGATCTGCTTGCTTCCATCGATGGTGCTTTGTTGGAGGGATCATCCCATCATGTTCCCGTCAGCCTCAACCGCAACCCACGTTCTCGGCTACAGCTCCCACCATTTCCCAACTGCCGGTTGGTCTTTTTCGAGGAATGTTGGTCAATCTCATGAGCTTCCCAGTATCGTCATGGCATCTCCCATCTTCCGCTCTTGCCACCCTCCTTGAGAACCACTCTCAAGCCCTCGATGACCATTGCCTTGTCGACCGCTTTACACATGTCGTAGACTGTCAGGGCAGCGGTTGACGCAGCTGTGAGCGCTTCCATCTCCACGCCCGTTTTGCCATCACAAGAAACTGTTGCCGCAATCTCAATCGCGCCTCCCTTGTTCTGGCCATTGGTTTCGTCTTCAATGTTTGCTTCCACAGGCGCCAGCTCGACCTCGGCATGCGTCAGAGCAATAGGATGGCACAGCGGAATGAGGTCCGGCGTCCGTTTCGCCGCCATGATGCCCGCTATCCTCGCCACTCCGAGCACATCTCCCTTTTTCATTTGATTCTCTTTGATAAGTCTGAGAACCGCCGGGTCCGAGAAGTACACAGTACATTTGGCTGTGGCCACGCGTTTTGTGGGTGTCTTGTCTGAAATCGAGACCATATGGGCCTCTCCAGAAGAGGTGACATGCGTCAGTTTCGGACCTTTGGAATCGTTGTCCTTGCCATCCTGACGGAACTGTCGAGATGTGCTCGTGAAGAGGCGTAGCTGCTGGAAACCAGAGGTGCTGCCAGAGCCCGGGACCGGAAAGCCGCTGAGAGGTACTGGTCCCTTGTTGGTAAGGCTGGTACTTGGCGCGAAACCGATGTGATGATGCCACCGAGAATGGTGCCGCTGAAATGTGGCTGGCGGATCTACGCTTGCTCCTTAGCCAAACTTGTCCCTGTTTGAACCAAGCACAAGCAAAGCCCTGAGCGTTGTGGGGAGGTAGGTAGGTGGTTCAAGATGTATGTCATGCCTCATATACGACTTTTATGTACCATTTTCCCACTCCAAACTCCAACCAGTGCACAGATGCCAGAAAGAAAGGGGAGAGAACCATCACCCACCGATCAGTATCATAGGCCTGTTTTTCATATGCTCCAGCTCGCCGAGGCCAGCGTGCTTTTCCTTCTTCCGCTTTACAGCCATACCAATCACGTTGAGGAGCTCCTCAGAGTTGGGTACCAACAGCTGTGATGATTGTTTCAAGCCGTCCAGGGCAATTTGCTTCAGCAACTCCAAGGCTTCCTCGTCGATTGGCTCGCCCCCGTTCACCTTTCGCAAGATGTCTCTTACGGAAACCTCGGCATTCCCAAAGAGGCACACCTTTAGGTTGCCGTCACTGGTGATCCGGAGCCTGTTGCATGTCCCGCAAAAGTTGTGGGTCATGCTCGTGACGAACCCAAGCTTGCCAACAAAGCCTGCCACCTGGAAGGTCTTGCTTGTGTCGTTCTTGTGGCCCGCCTCCCTTTGAAGGTCCGGATACCGGGAGCGGATCAGGTCCAGCATCTCTTGGTAGCTGAACATCTTGCCCTTGCTCCACTTGTTGCCGTCAAACGGCATGTACTCAATGAAGCGCACCTCGACATCCTTCTCCCGCGTCATTTCCACAAATGGCAGAATCTCCCGGTCGTTCACCCCGCGCATGACCACACAGTTGATCTTGAACTTGATGCCCGCGCCCGCGCGGTTCAGCTCGAAAATGCGGTCGATAGTCTTCTGTACGGCGCTGAATCCCGCCCGCCGCGTCATCAACTGATACTGCCATTGGTCCAGAGTGTCGAGAGACAGGTTTACTCCCGTCAAGCCAGCCTCTACCATGGCGTCCAGTTTGCGGTGGAGCGATAGGCCATTGGTGGTGAGGCAAAGCTCGCGAAGGCCGTGGGCTCGCAGGGCTCCGATCTGCTGCATCAAAGGCACAATATCCCGCCGCACAGTGGGCTCGCCTCCCGTCAGACGAATTTTGGTAACGCCCTGGGACACAAACAGAGACGAGAGCATCACAATTTCGGGGGTGGTGAGGAGCTCCTTCTGAGGCGAGAGGGGCACACCCTCTTCAGGCATGCAGTATAGACATCGTAGGTTGCATCGCTCAGTTACGGAGATGCGCAAGTAGTCGTGCTGGCGATCGAAGTTATCCGTGAGGAAATCGGAGAAGGGCCTGGCCTCGCGGATGCGATCCTTGCGAGAGCTCGATGAGGGCGGGGGCGTCGGTCTAATAACCCGGGAGCCGCGGTCAGCAGGGCTGGGGGGCAGTCGGTGTGGTGATGGAGGTTGAGGAAGAGGTTCGTCGACAGCTGGTGACGGCGCAGGCGAAGCAGAAAACGTCTGAACCCCTTGAAAGGGATGGGCGAGAGTCGCCGACGCAACACCTCGAAATTGTGACGGAGTCGTTCGGGGCCTTCTATTCGTCGTTGGCGTATGCAGCGTCCCGAGCCGGATGCGCTGGGACAGACAGCGCGCAACCGCACCCATAGTAGGTAGGTAATAACTAAAAGTGTGAGTTGAAGGCTGACTGACTGCTACTACCGGTATTCTGTCAGGGTGTTTCTGCAACAATGAGAAGGGTGGCGGGGCACCATGGCCAAGTTATGTTTGTTCCCGTCTGGAGGTGGACGCCGACTCCGCGGAGACTGGTGGGTGAGAGTGGTGACGGAGTGACATCAAGTTTGATCCAATAGATATCTTACAGATATCGATACGGGACATGTATCCAAGATTAACGAGAGGCCAGCATGCCGATTCAGGACCTGGCATCTGGCATCTACCCTTGACGATGCTTGGCTGCTGCTGATGACTGACATTTCCTTGTGTGACTCAGCAACTCCGTCGAGGGGAAAGAGTTCCCTTCATCGCCTCCTTCCCCCGCCAAAATGGCACAAGAGTGAAGAGACAGCAGGTGCACTCGGCAAAAAGCGGGTCACTGCGGACCGGCCCCAGATGCTCGGATGTCGGCGAGAACCAGAGGTCCAAGCTTCTAGTGTAGAGCGTAGAAAAGGTCCCCGCCATTCTTGGCAGCCTCTGTCCACCGGTCGCCTGGCACGGAACGTCAGGCACGCCGCGTTCATGAATTTTTTTGGTCCAAAGTACCGGCCCAGCCAACGACGCGACCAAGTACCCAGTACCTCGTCCCGAAAGCAACACCACTATCACCACCTCCGGACAGGACTGTTTATAGGCTATCTCCATACGAGCAATCGTACATACTCCCTCGCTCAGCCCTCACGGCCGTGTAGTGTTTGCTTCCCACTTTGGTGCTCGAGCAGCAGCCACGCATCCTGCGACTTTGCTTACGCAGTGTTTCCATCAGCAACAGCAACATTCAGCGATCAGGTCCTCCCGGCTACCTGCATACGCGTTGCATGATAATATCTACTACTTACTACCTAGCTATACTGCACGGACGGAAGGTGTGAGGCCATCTCTCTCTCGATTCTCCCTCTCTGCCTTAAGAAGAATATCAACATGAAGTTCTCCAGGAGCCTAAAGTGTGAGTGAGAGTGTGTGTGTGATATGATACTATACCTATGTCGACCATCTGGACGCAGGGCTTCGCTGACGCCGCCAATAGCATCATCGCACTCTGTCCCCAGTCCAGACGGCCAACATATTGCGACTCTTCTCTCATCCCTTGTCCATATCAGAGCCGTCCGCAGCCCAGAGGTTGTCAATGTGATCAAACTGCCCCAGGACTTTGCCGGCCCCATTCTCGGTTTCCAGTGGTCACCGTCATCACGCCTGTTGCTCATAGCTGGACCTGAACAAGTTCGCGTTGTTTCTGCGCTTGACAGCAGCTTCCATGCTGCCATCCGAACCGCCTCTGTGCCCGGCACGAAGCCAGCTTATGTTGGCTTTGGTGCCTCAGATGCCGAGGTCTGCGTGATCTCGTCATACGGCCTGAAGTTCTCTCTGTTCGATCTCACCTCGTCTAGGGCTGCCGAGATCAACACCCCCAAGGTTTTTTCTCCTTCGTCCGCTTCTAGATGCTTTTCTTTTCGGCCCCAAACACGTCATCTTGCCTTGCTCTCCAGAGTCTCTGGCAAAGACTTAATAAGCATTCACTCATATCCAACCAGAGAGTTGCAGAGGTCATGGGCTCCTGATACCATTGATGCCCAGGGAATTACATGGAGCCCAGACGGACGATGGCTTGTCGTCTGGGAATCAGCTGCGCAGGGACACAAAGTAATCTTCTATACGTCAGATGGACACTTGTTCAAAACCTGGTCAGGCCCTGCGAATCCTTCATTGGAGGACAGAGACTACGCCATTGGAGCCGGCGTCAAGGCGCTTCAGCTGTCAGCCGATGCCCGTTTCCTAGCTGTTGGCGATTGTAGTCGGTCAGTGTGCATTTTCAACATGGCTTCCGTAACAGAGACTATGCGCCTTCGTCATCCAAAGTCTGTTGCTTCCACAGAGACACTCCAGGTGGGTCCAGCAATCACTACACCGCACCTCCATGTGAAGGGCCTTCAACTGACTCGCATTCTATAGGTCTGGCAAGAGCAGATCGGCGTGTCGCAAACTGGCCCTATCATGCACACCTTCTTGCGGACTACGCAGGTCATATCCCCGGCGCCCCGGCTGCAGGACAACTCAGAGCCTGTGTCGGGCTGTGCGGCCATCTCATTCGATCCCACGTCGGCACTCGTAGCCACACGGCTGGAAGACTCACCCGGCACGGTCTGGATCTGGGATCTGGAGGCCGCAGAGTTGCGTGCAGTGCTGCTCTTCCACGGGAACATCAGCGTCCTGTCGTGGCATCCTCATGTTGCCGAGACACTTCTCATTCGATGCGAGGGCGAGCAATACAATGGCATCGTCTTTGTGTGGGACCCTCTCTCAGAAGGGCCTCGATCAGTTGACTTTTCCCAACACCTCCCTGGACTCAAAACAAGTGGCAAGCCCCGGGCCTCGTGGTTAGGGTCTGGTATGGCAAGTGGTCCGTCGCTCTTCTTCTCAGACGCCCAGCATTACGTACTGGGTTGTCTGATCGAACTGGACGAAGTTGCACCTCCGTGGGCCAGCCACCACAGTCCGGAGCCGAGCTACGCAGCAGAGACACGGGAAGAGTCGCCGCTCGAACTGGTTCCGGCAGAACAGGACGGTCCAGACAGGGCCAGAGCCGTTGAAGACGACGACGATGACTACAGCGAACTAGAGGACACCTTTGTGCACAAAAGGTAGAACGTCATCGCATCACTTGCACTTCGGTATTTGCCTGAAACTTTATGCCTTGGCGGGCAAGACAGTCAGTTGTGCAAACTTGAGTTCAATCCCCCCCCTCGCCAGCCGAGAGCATACAGGGCTTGGCGAATGATCCCTACGACCCAGGTACCTGGATAGCTGCCATTGGGCGATGCGGTCCGGGGAAGCCTGCCGTGAGTCAGTAGCCGTCTGACATGTCGGAACTCGACGAAGCTTCATGCAAGCCACAGCGGATTTGGACAGCTCAAGTCCAAGCCGACCTTCGAGTCAACGGCACCGGGGGCGACCACCACGTTTAGAGGAAATCTTGTCACATCGACGGGTGACAAGGCAGGGCGAAGTCCCACGGCTTACACGCGGTGTTACACTACTGCTTCAAGACTACTGCCAACGTCACCATATTGCTTTTCTCCTACCGATCTAATCTCGAGGGGGTGGGACGCCTGCTCTTCACCTTTCACGGGCGAAAGCTATTGCTCTCCGCAGGCGCTAGCTCAGTGTCCTCGCAGCAGCTCCGCTTCAGTTTGTCTTTTAGAAATGTTTGCTCTTCAGACTACTGTTAATACCCGCAGCAGCTAGCAGCGATTGGGGTCCTAAGGTGGGGGGAGGCTCAATGTCTCAGTCCCTATTCTGTTGGTGCTGCCCTTATTTGACCCGGAAGTAACTAGGCGCCGTCATGGTGTTCTTACAGGATTCCTGCAGCGTTATCACAGGTTTTGTCCATGGGGAATCTTCAACAGCACCCCATGCCAGGTTTTACCCTTGGTTCAAGCACGCGGTTGTCTTCGCCACAAACTTCAGAAGAATGTACCGAGATGTATCCGTATCTCAGCCAGCATCGGGAACTTACATAGCGGTGTGAGCGGGGCATGCTACGGCTGTCTGCGGGCTGCTGTTGAGGGTGGCGTTTGACTTCAAGCCTGGGTTGACTCTCTGTATGGTGACGACTCTCTGTATGGTGACGCCTCCCACATTCAGCCACAGCTTCTCCGCACAAAGAACGCCGGGGCAGGTCCTCGAACCCTGGCTCTGTTCCCCAGGGTTTAGCACACGAAGGACAAAACGGCACCTACACCATGTAACGTTATAGGTAGCTTGTATGTGACACCGCCATGGCTTTTGAGCCGCCTGTCATCCAGGCCTGTCAACTACTGTCAACTATCTTTAGTGCTCCCACCTACCTGGTAGTTGGTTGACGGGGGTGGTTGGCTCGATTCACCTTGTCTCCTGGACGAGAAGTTCTCACACCTTCTGCCTTTAGACACTCCCCCCGTGCAGGGGCGCTGTGGCTACCCATCATGCAGCTCGTTTCAGCTAGTCCTCGGGAGCTACATTGGCTCTCTCGGCCCGCTTCTTGTCATGTTGTCAGGCGTACGGCAACTCACCTCGGCACGGTCGAGACGCTCGTGAACTGTCGATAACAATCTACACTTTGAAGGGGTGTGGATTGAATCGTCAGTTGGTACTGGGTACAGTAAACAGCAACAAGGGCCGGGCGTGACGGACCAAGATCTCTACCAGGTTGCCGTATCGCGCATGCAGCCCATCTGCAGTTCAGGACGGAAAAAGGTTGGATATCACATCTGACAAAAGATGCCGTCTGCAAGCCCTTGGGCCTCCTTGGAAGGTGGTCGAGCTCTTCATGATCTGTTTTGGTTGAGAGGTGCCTGGGGCTGCCTTGTGGAAGATGATTGCCCCCCAAACCATGACGCCCCCAGCGGCATGTAGTATATATACCAGATATTCATTCTCCCTTTGTACCTTGGAACCCATCCCTGGCCTTCCTATTGTTCAACCTTTTGTCTGAATAGTTCCTGGCGTGATTTCATTTTGCTATGTCCACTTGGCTTGGAGTTTTAGCTCAGTCGATCAACGACCACGAGAAATATTCCGCCAATATTTTGCTATATCTTCACCTTCAGTTCGCCGGTCCTTTTAAATTTCCTTGAGCGCCTCGTAAGCCGTCAGTCTAGAAGAGTCGATCGCCTGAAACCAGCAGCCTCTTCCGCAGAAAAACCGAATCAAGTTAGCTGAACCCTGAACATCAAGACACGGCCGTGTCGACAATGTCTCGCAGCCAAGCGCATCACCAAAATCTGGTTCTTGTCACAGTCCCGCCGGGGAATATCACTGGGTTATATTACATCACTATTGCAAATGTAGCCGCAGTCCTTTTCGAACCGGCTTGTCTCTGAGGCTAACCCTGATGTCTCCCTGCAGTTCTCACACAGCACAACATGGAAAGATCTCAAGGCTTTTGTTTCTCAAGTCTGCGAGGTAGACTTTTGCCTGATCTATGACCCGACCGCGGGCTTCGTCCGGGTCAAGGGGCTGGAGAACTTTGAGAAGGCGTACAGTAAGCACTCTGTGTTTTCCTTTTGTTGATATCATTCCTAGCTAACGAAACTCACCCTCACACAGAGTTCCTAGACGGTAATACCCTTCACTACCGCTGCCTCCAAGCCGACGCCAGAAACAGAGACCAGTCCACCGTCGTCAAGCTCCCGCCCAACGACTACCACGCCATCATGCTCAAAGGCCACCAACGAGGCCGCGTAGTCGAAGACCCCTCCGCCCCCCAGCCAGCCCCAGACACATACTACGCCTACCCAACCAACCCTGACCCGGTCGACACCATGGGACGCAACTCAGAGTGCACCTCCCCGATCCAGTACACCACCGACCAAACCTGGCCCTCCTACCCAGCCTACACCACCACCCCTCAAGAATACCCCCCCACCACCCTCCCCTACCAAGACCTCCCCGTTGCTCAGCCCTTCCCTGGCACCACCCTTTACCCCAACCCAGGGGAAACCTACTACCCCGGTCCCCCAGGCAGCAACACCACCGAAGGATACTACCCCGCCCCTCCACCCCAAGAATTCTTCGACCCTTCCTCCTCCCTCACCAACGAGTTCTCCTCCCTCTCCCTATCCTACCCCCCCTCATCGGACCTCATCCTCCTCGAAAACCGCAAGATCATCTTGCTAAACCTCGATAAACGCCGCCTCGACCAGTCGTACATCTCTTCTTTGCTATCCACCTTTTGCCCACCAGCGTACTCCACCGCCATAGAACAAATCGAGATTCCTATCAGTTCCAGGTCCCGAGAAAACAAACCCAAGGGAACGGCGTTTATTACCTTCTCGTCGGCAGAGGTTGCCATGGGGGCGGTGGATTGTCTGAACGGGGTTGCTTTTGGGGGGAGGGGGCTGACGGCTAGGTTGGCGGAGGGGATTCCTGCTGGGAGGGATGGGAAGAAGAACAGGGGGGTGATGGAGGAGCAGAAGAGGGAGCGGAGGAGGGAGAGGCGGGGGGGTGGGGGTGATGGTGGGGGGGAGAGGAGGGAGGAGGGGGCGCCGGTGGTGGTGGATGGGAGTAGGGGGCGGCCGGTTATTGTTAATGGGAGTAGGAGGGAGAGGGGGGGGAGGGCGTGAAAAGACAAAAATGGGGGGTTTGGGGAAGGGTAAAAGTGACTTGATGATGATGATGAAAGAAAATGTATACGAGGTGTTTTTGGTGTTTGATGAGCATAAGGGGGGGGTAGTGGTCAAAACTTTCTTCTTTTTCTTTTTTTTTTCCAGGGGTCAATCTTTTCATAATCTTTCCTTTGGGTCATGAGGTCTATGATTGAATGGTGGTTCTGCATCCGCCATGCCCGGTACACGCTTTGCTCGCAATCATGTGGATTGATAATGCTTCAAAGTCCCGCTTGGGAGTGGCATGGCTCGCTTTTCACTTTGATGAGTTTCGACGAGCAAGCAGCACAACTCTCCCCCCTGCCAACGCCCCTCATGCCTCTTTATACTATGCCATTTTCATACGTGTAGTTTAAAACCAGCCCAAGTTGATTGCTCTCTGAACCCCCCGTCGAGGTTGTCCTTCTACAGCCCGCCAGCCATTTGCTTCACTGTCCCTCTATTCATACCAAGACACCATATCAAAACAGCCTATTCCTACATCAGGTCATCATCCCCATCAATTGGGCAACCTCTCCCTCTCCTCCTCCCTCCTGGCCCACCCCTTAAACCACTCCAACGCCTCCGGATTAGCAACACTAGCATTCGTCCTCACCTGCATCCCGCTCAAAATCTGCTTCACCGCCACCTCAATCTTCTTCCCATTCCCCGTCTTCGGCACCCCCCCTCCCGCCTCTTCAATCACCCACCGGCACATGCGCTCGCGCTCAGCTCCCGTCTCACCACCTCCCCAATCCGCCTCCTAACCCCCTCATCAAACCCTTTCCCTTCTTTCATAACAACAAACAAACAAACCGTCTCATCCCTATCCCTCTCCCTCCGCCTCCCCACACAAACCGCGTCCTCCACCTCCCCCCCAAAATGTCTCGTCAGCACATTATAAATCTCCGCACTCCCAAACCTAACCCCCGCCGGCTTTAGCACCCCATCACTCCGCCCCAACATGACCAACCCCCCCGTTTTCGAGTCAGGAATCTTGACAAAATCCCCGTGATGCCAGATATTCTCCCCAAACCTCTCAAAATACGCAGAGCGGTACTTGTCCTGTCCAGCAGGGCCGAAAAAGGTTAAAGGCTGGCAAGGAAACGGCTTGAGACAGACCAGATCGCCTTCCTCCCCTTCAGTCGTGACCAGCTCCGGTTCGGCGGATGAAGACGCCGAATCCATGACCGCAATCGCCATCCCAAGTCCCGCGCACTGAATCTCCCCAACCTTGACGGGGAGTAAAGGACAGGGGGCCCCAAACAGGGAGATGATGTCTGTTCCGCCTGTGATACTCGCCAGGTTGACACGAGAGGGAAAAGCTTGATACACAAACGAAAAGGTTGAGGGGGGTAAGGGGGAGGCGGTGGAGTAGATTGCCTCCAGTCGAGAAAGGTCAAGGTTGTGCTCTGACGCAATAGGGATGACGCTGTTCGCTTCGAGGGTGGTGAGGTACGCGGCTGAGGTGCCAAAGTGGGTTACCCTCAGCTTGGAGAGGAGGATGGGGAGGGAGAGGTAGCCGTTCGGTTTGAAGGGGCTGCCCGAGTAGAGAACCAAAGAGGCGCCGCAGGAGAGGGCAGAGACGGACCAGTGGTGCATCATCCAGGAGGTGGTGGTGAAGTACAGCATCCTCGAGGCTGGGGACAAGGAGCAGTGGAGGTAGAGTTCCTTCTTGTGCTGGAGGAGGGTGCCAGCTGCGGTGTGGACTATCGCCTTGGGGAGGCCGGTGGTGCCGGACGAATAAAGGACGTAGAGGGGGTGGGATGGGGGTAGTTGGGTGAAGACCAGAGGTTGGTCGGTAGAGGAAGACAGGAAGGAGTCATGCTCCTCTGCTCTGACGCCCAGGTTGCGGAACTCATCGAGGCCGGTCTCAAAGTTGGGGAGGCCTTTGATGATGACGACGGTTTCGAGACCGTGCTGCTTGAGAGCCTCGACGATTTCGAGCGTCTTGGCCTTGCCGGACCATTCTTTGCCGTTGTAGAGGGTGGCGTTGTCGGAGAAGAGAACCTGGGGGCGGATCTGAACGAGACGGTCGAGGACAGCGCTGACGCCGCTGTCAGGGCTGATGCCAGTCCAAATCGCACCGAGGGTGGCAGCACTGAGCAAGGCGACGAGAGCCTGGACGTGGTTGGCCACGAAGCCAGCAACGACACTGTTTTCTTTCACTCCAGCAGCACGGAGAGCATTGGAGCACCTGCGTACTTGATCGCGGAGCTCGGCCCATGTTGTCTCCGTCAACGCATTGTCATCCTCCGTAGCGGTGATTACGGCGACGGCATCCTCGTCGACATCGGCGTTGGCTGGGAACAAGAGGTTCTCGGCAAAGTTCAGACGCGCACCGGCAAAGAAGTCGGGCCTCGGGAACATGGGGGCATCAGGAGCCAGGACCTGAGGGCATTGTTAGCAAACACAGGAAACGGAGGTTCTGTGATAGGGTGGTATGGGCGACCAATTCAGGGGCTCAATTCAGGGGCTCAGTTCAGGGGTTACACTTTACACAGAAAACGCACCTGATCAAATGGCTTGGAAGCCTTGATGCCGGCAAAATGCCACACGTCCCCCCAAAAGTCGGCCACATTGTCGACTGACCACTTGTAGAGATCGGGATAATCAGCTAACGACAGCCCATACTTGGAGTTTACGTGCTGCAGAAACTTCCACATCTGGGTCCCCTCAGGGTCAGAGTGTCTCCAGAGCTCCGATGCCGTCATTGTGTCCACCACCACTTCTTTTTCCTTGAAAAAATTGGGGGATATCCGGCAAACTTGGAAAAGGCGATATGATGGAACGACACAATGTGTAGTAACGAATGGAGTGGCGGTGTTGGACAAATCCACAGTTTGAAACCGACAAAGAGAACGACGAAACAAAACAGTTGTTGATGACCCTGATGTACTACTCAACGGGGGGAATCCAGCAACGGGGAATGGAAAAGTGTCCCGCGGATTCTTCCTGGCGTTGCTCTCTTTCTCTAAACTTCGATCCCGACCCTAAAACGACTGGACCGAGTCCGGCGAAAGCCGACGCTTGCCACACGACACCCGAGGGATAACCAGAGAAGAAAGCTCCAGCAAGGCGAGACAACAAGCAGCGCAAACCGGAGGTCGGGGTCGGGCCACTGAACGGATGATGCAAGCGGCGGCATCCCTTCCACACTCGGCAGCTTTCCATGCAGGTACCGGTCTGTTTAACCCGCAGCGGCTGCTTTGACTTTCCATATGTTCGAACGACATCTCCAAAAGTTTAAGCTTGTGCCTTTTCCTTGATCTTGTCTTTCGGGAGCAAAACAAGCATTTCTTGGCCGGAGAATGATTCCGAGAGTAGAGCGAGAAGTACAGAGTGCGTACACCTGGGGAAGACCAAGCCCCTCCCCGAGCTTTTATAGCCCCGAGGTATTCGGCGGTGCTCACCGATCACTGCCCGCTCACCTCATCCGCGTATAATTATATTAACGCATGCGACGCTCCCAGCTGTCACCTCAGTTAGTCTCAGAAACACGCGTAACACTGGGGGGCTGCCACATGGGCAATGTGATAAAAGATGTTCGAAGCAGCCCGCAGCGGGTTTCGGGCAATGGAAAAGCCGTTAAGAAAGACATCTGATTTTGACGCAATTGCCGTGGTACAATCAACGGTTCGACGGTGGCAGACGCCGCCGGGTGGTTTGTTACCTTTCCAGTGGAAACTGTTTTGTAAAACTGTACACCGCTCGTTCGGTCATGCCACTTCCTTTTGGGTTCTCCATCTTCTCCAACCACTGCAGTTTTGTTGGTGTTTTTGTCTTGGGAGCACGCCCTGACCCTGACCCTGAAAGATTTCTGACATTCTCTGTGCCTCTTCACGATGGCGCTATGCTGCTCTGGGAGTGACAGCACGAGAGAGTGCCACTGGGAGCGGGCAAACAAGGAGCCCGATTGGCGGGACGCCCTCAAGAGATCCACGGACGGCGGGATACAAGACCAGACCGGCATCAGATTTTTTACAGCGTGTATTATCACCATCTCCAAATTGGGATATGCTGCTAATGCAGGGTGAAGGAGGCCGGTGTAGAGATAGACCGCTGTGCTCAAGTGACGCTGATGAAGCTGATAAAGCTGAATAATGATGGAATCATGACCCCCCTCACCTCACTCACCTCACTCACGCCCCGCCCCTCAATCAGTCAGCCCCGGAAGCGCACCGGACGTCTCGGCAACGGGAAGGGCACTGGGCTGGTGGAGGGTGGAGGGTGGAGGTTGAGGGTCGATGGTCGATGGTCGATGGTGGGTCGGGGTTGGTGATGGTGATCCATCATCACCCATGGGTGTTGGGTGCTGCAGGTGTGGTGCTGTTGGTGAGCGACAGGGGGCCGCAGGGCGTGGTCAAATTACCAGGTGGCCAAGGTACACGGCAAGGCCCCTCCACTTAACCCTGATGGGATGCTAGCAGCAGCGCGCGCAGACCACCCCAATCCACACCTGGTTCCAGGGCATCCGCCAGCGACCGGTAATTTCCTGGCGAGGCGTTCCCCTGGCCTCCATCTCTCTCCGCCCTCTTCGAGTCTGTTTTTTTTTCTTTCTCACTTGATTAGATTCCTCGCCCTGTCAGACCAGCCCTTCCTTTTCTCAAACCTCACGTCTCTTGTTCTGCCAGCCCTCGCGGATGAGAGTTTGACCTCGGAAAACAACAACACCACGAACAAGCTCTCAAGACCCGCGCGTGCGTGCAGAACAGCAGGGCGAGGGCGTTTTACTCATTCTCCAGTACGAATAACTCGGTTCTATTGTTTCCCGCCGTTTCGATGCCGCGAAAGCTCACAAACCCTTTCTCGACCAGCAGTATGCCACAGTCAGAAAGGGCTGGGGAGCGACGGGCCTCACACTCCAAGGGCAACCGCCTCGTTGGTTTCTTCTCGTCCAAGGCTAAGGAGCAATCGCATTCTCAACAGCAGTCGTCTGTCTCGTCGCCCTCGGCCATGTCGCTGCCCACCATCTCCCTCTCGGCCGCCGCTGCCGGAGAGCAGCACCTCGACGAGCCCCCGACCACTCTGTTCGAGCCTCCTTCGGCCGACGAGGCCCGCAAGGAAGAGCGCGCCGCGTCCCAGTTTGGCCCCCTGCTTCATCCGACTCACCGACACGTCAGCCAGAGCTTCGGCCAACCGCTCGAGACCCCGATCGAGGATGAGCCTCCCTATTACTTTGTCCTTACCACCTATCTCAGCTACCTAATCCTAATCTTCTGCGGCCATATTCGCGACTTCTTCGGCAAGCGCTTCGGCAACAAGAAGCACTACCAGACCCTCAAGGCCCAGAACGGATATGCGCCTCTTAATGATGACTTTGACAACTTCTACGTCCGGAGACTGAAGCTCCGCCTGGACGACTGCTTCGCCAGACCTACTACCGGTGTTCCTGGCCGCTTCATCACCCTCATGGATCGCAAGTCGGACGACTTCAACCGCACCTACAAGTTCACTGGCACCTACACTCAGACCCTCAACATGAGCTCCTACAACTACCTCGGTTTCGCCCAGTCCGACGGCCCCTGCGCCGACGCGGTGGAGGAATGTGTGCGCAAGTATGGCCTTAGCTCTGCCAGCCCCCGTGCTGATTCTGGTACCAACGATCTTGCCGTCGAGGTGGAGCGCGAGGTGGCCCAGTTTGTTGGCAAGCCTGCCGCCATGGTCTTCTCCATGGGTTTCGTCACCAACGCCGGCTCTTTCCCTGCTCTGGTGTCCAAGGGCTGCCTGATCCTCTCTGACGAGCTCAACCACGCCTCGATTCGCATTGGTGCCCGTCTCTCTGGCGCTGTTATTCGCTCGTTCAAGCACAACGACATCGGCGATCTCGAGGCCAAGCTTCGCGAGGCTATTTCTCAGGGCCAGCCCCGCACTCACCGCCCCTGGAAGAAGATTCTCGTTGCTGTTGAGGGTCTGTACTCGATGGAGGGTACCATGGTGGATCTCCCCGGTGTTTTGGCTCTCAAGAAGAAGTACAAGTTCTTCCTGTATGTCGACGAGGCTCACAGCATCGGTGCCCTCGGCCCCCGTGGCCGCGGTGTTTGCGACTACTTCGGTGTGGATCCGGCCGAGATTGATATCCTCATGGGTACTTTGACCAAGTCCTTCGGCGCCAACGGTGGTTATGTTGCTGCCGAGAAGCACATCATCGACAAGCTCAGAAGCACAAACGCCGCCACTCTCCTCGGCGAATCCCCTGCTCCTTCTGTTCTCATGCAAATCCTGGCTTCCCTTCGTATCATCACCGGCGAACTTGCACCTGGTCAGGGTGAGGAGCGTCTCCAGCGCATTGCCTTCAACTCTCGCTACCTTCGTCTTGGATTGAAGCGTCTCGGCTACATCGTCTACGGCCACGACGACTCGCCCATCATTCCCATCATGCTTTACCACCCCGCCAAGATCGCCGCTTTCAGTCACGAGATGCTCAAGCGCAAGATCTCGGTCGTCGTTGTTGGCTACCCCGCCACTCCTCTCATCAGCTCCCGCGCCCGTTTCTGCGTCTCTTCGGCTCACAACAAGGAGGATCTGGACCGTGTTCTTGCTGCTTGCGACGAGGTTGGCGACATTATCCAGATCAAGTACTCCACCGGTTTGGCTGGCGGTGCTGAGCCTCTGCCGGAAGGTGTCACCCCAGAGATGGAGAAGGAGTGGCGCAAGGCCAACGGTCTGGAAGGTGTCATCAAGCCCCCAAGGTGGAAGCTCGAGGACGTGCTGGCGCGCGGTGTACAAGATGCCAAGGTACCCTTGAGATAATTCCCCTCTCTGGGATTTCCTTGCTTGCAACGACAAAAAGTATACATGTGCGAGTTACTGTACATAATCACGGGGAAAGCGGGCGTGCTGGCGCGATCTTGAGCATTCCCCTTTGACATTCTACTATTGGGGGTTTTAGAGATATCCTGTCCAGTTTTCCATTGGAGCCAGGTGTTCATTCGGTATAATAAGCATCTATGAGAAATGGGTGGGGAGGGGCTTGGGGGGGTGGTACAAGGTGCAAGGTTGGCTGGCTTTGGTGTCCGGGTTTAATTAATGTGGAATGTTTGGCACGGCTGGGAAACACAAAGGGCCTGGGATGGATGGATGGATGGGATGGGACGAATGAATGGATGACAGGTCAAAGATGGAGGGACGCGGGGGGGAAGGGGTGGAAGCGTGTGTGGTGTGTACCCGGACAACCTTGGGCTTGTATATTTCTATAAAGCATGGGAAGCAGGAGTTGGTTGTGCGTCTTTTTTTTCGGAGGCGCAAACACTATGAAAATGAATAGAACCTCAGCCGTTTTACCAGCTCGATGGTATCGGTGTAGAGAAAAGAAATCTTGAGGAATAGATCCGAACCGTATATTTAATGTTGTTTTCGCATGCACATGGTTTGAATTCGAGCTTTTTTGTACATGTATAAAAGGGGACAAGGTTGCAAGTTTAGACTTTCAATTTCCGGTCACGTGGTACCGCGTTCTCTCAACGCCACGGCTATACGCGTCCATCAGGGAATCTGCTTGCACCACTATAACCGTTTTCGGAGCTACCTAGCCAACATCGCCATCACTTTTTCTCTGGCCCTGGCATCACTTGTACTTTTGTTGCGACGAGGTAAGAACCCGGTGCCATTCAGACTCGTTGACTACAGTCGGCATCACTGTCAAAAATCGCCTGTCTCAGAAATAATCAAGACCACGGCAGGCATAAGTGCTTGGTAAGTCAATTTCTTGATGGGGACAATTTCGGGTTGAAGAAGAAGCCGCTGGGTCACGCCTATTCTTCTGGTTGCTCACCCACTACAAAAGCCTTTCTTGAACCTCGAGCTCGCTTGCTGTTTCCGCCAACCAACAACTCTAACTAACTGCGCAACACAGCTCTACGAATGGCAAAGCCTTCTAAAAAGAAACAACAGACCCTGGAAGCGACCTTAGGTACGTTTCTCTCTTCCTCCAAAGAAAAAATCGCTAATATTTTCCCCGCAGGTCGTCCAAGAGTCAAGCCTGCCGTGATAACCCCCAGAAAAGCAACTCCAACCAAGGGCTCGCCATCCAAGAATAGCGTGATCGCCATGCCACCACCTCCTTCCGCTGCCGCAAGCAGCTCTTCTCCAGGTGGAAACTTTATGACTTCCTCCCAGGTCATACTCAGCAGCGCAAAGAAGACAAGGTCAAGACCGTCGCTCGCCTACCCCAAGGAGCTCGACCAGTCTTCGTCTGCGACCGAGGATGAGCCGCCTGTCAGCTCAACCAGGCAAACGTCCAAAGGGAAGGAGAAGGCCATCGTCATCAGTGAGGACGATGACGATGACGAGGATGAACGGCCCACCAAGCGGGGAAAATCTCGTGGCAAGCCAGCTTCCATCTCTTCGTCGTCAGCATCTCCAAGCCCCGTGAAGGAATCTACCCCGAAACAAAAGCAGCAAGCTCCAGCGGATTCGGACGAGGAGTCAGACGATTTGCCTATCGTGACGCCCGTTTCATCACGTGTCAACAGGAAGAGGCGGCTTGCGGTTGATAGCGATGATTCAGACGACATGCCTTTGGTCTCCTCGCCCGTGAAGAAGCGGAGATTGATCCGTAGGGGCTCTTCACCGGTAAAACAGCAACAGAGCGACTCTGATGAAGAAGAGGTCGTTGCACCTACCCCGAGACTGCGGTCTTCACAAACCCCACGAAAGCCTCTTTCGGCGAAGGAAAAGGCGCGAGAGATGCTTCGTCGGCGACGTGCCGGTGAGATGATCGTTGAGGAGGACGGGGAGGAGGAAGAGGACGAAGAGGAAGATGTAGAGCCACGCAAGGCGCTCTACGATACAGATTCCGACCACCTCGCGCTTTCAGAATTCGAGGATGAAGAAGACGAACAACAAAACGAAGTCGAGGCCCCCGAACCGTCAGAGCCTGACGGCAAAAAGAAGAGGAAAAAAGACAAGAAAAAGAAAAAGAAGAAGCTCAAAGCTCTCAAGGGCGACTCCGACGACGAGGGCACCGAAGCCGAAGCCGAAGACCTCGATGACTTTGTGGTGGAAGACGATAGCGACGAACCCATGGGTGCCCCGGACGACCTGATGCAAATGCCCCTCCAATTCACCCACCACGCCCGCAAGAAGCTCATCGAGCACTTCCGGGACGTTGTGGAGTGGCTAGTCCAAAACAAGATCAACCCCGGATTCGCCGAAAAGACCGCCGAGCTCTACCGCATCGGCTGGCAGAAACTCGACGACGAGGTCAGAGCGCTCGCCAGCTCAAAATTCACCTCGTCAGCGTGGAAGCCTGACTTTTACAAAGCCTTGCGTGCCAGGCCGCAGTACACTTCCATCGAAGTCGGCGCTTCAGCTCACGAGACAGTCTTTGGATCCAACTGCGAGGCGTGCGGCCGGTCAGGTCACCCAGCAACGTGGACGATTTCCTTTTCTGGCACCCCCTATGTTAAACGTTTTGGGATGGACTTTCTCCACCCGATTGAGCCGCCGAGTGACTGTGATTCCTCCTCCCAGTCCCAATCCGAATCTTACGACGTGGACGAAGACGGGAACACCATCCCCCCCGAAGAGAAGACGTTTTACGTCGGGGTGGTGTGCAACGGCAACGCGGAGATTGCGCACACGTTGATACACTGGAAGCATGGGCTGCAGGATTGGGTGGAGAGCCAGCTGATGGCGGAGGGGTGGATGCAGCCTGCGAGGTTGGCGGAGAGGGAGAAGATGAAGCTGAAGAGGAAGTATAAGCTGGTGGATAAGATTGTGGAGAGGTGGGTGGAGGGGG